TAATCCTTATGGAAAAAAAGCAAGTTTAACATGCTACACAGAGTGGAAAGGTCTCTTCTGAGCATACTTTGTCATTTTCAATATGAATTATCTTTGCTGTGTTTAAAGAATTTTTTTCTCCGAAGTATCACAAAAGTTTCATCAGACAACTTTTTATCCCAATGAAGCCAGCTTGAAAAAGGACCCTAGTATTCTTCATCTCAATAATTTCATGATGACTTATAGGCTTTGAAACCAATTTTTTACTAAGAGGAAAAATTCCCAGCTGGGATAAAAAAATTTCATATCAAATTTCAGCCTGATCCATTTCAAAACCACGATGAAAAGTATAACATTTCCCTTCCACCACAAAGGATTAGTAATGGAAAAATCTGCCTTCACTAGAGCTACCATAACACAACCATGGGGAGCATGATTTATGCTTTAGTGATTTAAAAATGTGTGTATGTGGGTCTGGGTGTGCAACTGGATTGTTTCTCCTCCAACATTTCAGGAAGCAAAGATATATTACAGTTGGTAGTGTATAGAAATATACCAATATAATCCCAAATGCATGTTCTCAGCAACTGGTCTCACACCTGAGGAGTCTTTTATCCGTTCAAAGCTGAACTGCCATAAATAAAAACATGTTTTTTTTACACCCAAAGCCATAGTAAGTTATGCTGAAATGATGAGTTGTGCATTGAGGAGTGGCCTCCCTGAGTGAGTCTTACTTCACTTAATTTGATTCAGTTGATGATAGAAGGTTTTCCTTTTTGGGTGAGGGGCCTGGTGGTGAGAGATGGCCTAGGCTGCAGGTCAGATAATGTAGACACTGACACAAGCCAGGAGGAACAACAGGGGCTGTAGTTGCTCTTTCTTTTGTCCAAGGATATCTTCTTATAATACCATACGCTTCCCTCTTGCAAGTTTTTGCTTGTGCTGTTCCCCTTACTTGGAAAGACTCTTTTTCTGCTGACCCATGTTCTATCATGGAATTATGAGATCATGGATCATAGAATTGTACCTTGGAGATTATCTGGCCCAACCCTTCAGTTTACAAATGTGGAAATGAGGGCACTGAGGCAGGCGGAGATGAAGTGACTTATCAAAGATCCTAAAGTAGTAAGGAGCAAAGCCCCAGAGAAATGGAAATAGACCTTAGATGTTATCTAGGCCATCTTCCTCATGTTACAGATGAGGAAACTGAGGCTGAGAATGGCTAAGTGACTGTCCAAGGTTACATTGGTGCTAAGTGGCCATTAGAACCCCAGTCAAATGACTCCACTTTCAACGCTGTTACTCTGACAGAAGTTCTCTGACTCAAAAATCCAGTATTTTCCTTACTTCATCACACTAATTGATCTTCAATTTTCTTTCTTTTTTGCCTCCTTTTTTCTTCCTTCCTCCCTCCCTCTCTCCCCCTCTTTCTTCTTCTTCTTTCTTCTCCTTCCTTTTCTCCTTCCCTCCTTTCTTCCCTCTCTCTGTCCTTCCCTCCTCTCTTCCCTCTCCTTTTCTCTTTCTTTTTTCTCCTTCCTTCTCACTTTATCCTCCTTTCTTCCTTCTTCCCTTCCTCACATCCTTCCTTCCTTCCTACCTTCCTCTTTAGTGGAGAAGTCCTTTAAAAACAGTAGCCATATTGAAAAAGCCTTTTCTGCAAAAGATATAATCCATTACTTTCTTATTGAGAAAGTTTGATGAGTCAGACAGATTATAGTGTGAATGTTGAACATTGATTGAGAGAATCACAGATTATACCTCTAGGGACTTTCCAAGATAAGTCCTTAATCACATTCATACTTGATGAGTCGTTAATAAACCAGAGCTTTGAGGTCTCACCTACCTAAGCCATCATTCATGGAAGTCAACCAAGGCAGAAAAACAATGGCATTGTAGTAGAGACTAACCTTTTCTTTAAGAAAAATTTTAAAAGTCAGATTAAGAGCCATATCAAACTGTGACAAGTCCTTGAACTTTGAAAAGAATGTAATGGAGGTAAGGTTGAATGGGAAATGAGGGGGTAAGAAGGGTCTCAATTGGAACTCACCCTAGATCCAGGGCAGAAGGAGACCATATGTTGAATTCTTACAACTCTTTGAGAGAGAGTAGTTGGAACTCACATAAGAAATGCCCAAAGTAGAAAAATGCTGCTTAAATTGGTATACTACTACCCAGGCTCGAGCTTCCTCTGAGTAGACCTCTGTAGAATCTACTCATCTTTGGCACTTCAGGCCTCAAATGGCCTCCAACCTAACACGGTGCCTTGTATAGGAGGTACTTAATTCAATCAAACACATGCCTACTATGAACCCAGCACTGTGTTAGGAAGGAAGGAGAAAAGGGAGAGGGAGGAAGGGAAAAAAAGGAGAAGGAGGAAAGGAGGGAGGAAGAAAGGAAGAAAAAGGAGAGAAAGAGGAGGGGAGGGGAGATAGGATATAAAGGTAGTTAACTACATCACATACCCTGCTTTCAAGATACATTCTTATGATGGAAGTGGAGGCCTGGAGGAAGATAGGTACAAAAATAACTATAATATAATAGAAAATATAAGTGAAAATGAAAAAGTCCTGGAAAAGTGCTGTGAAAAATTTGAGGATAGAGAAATTAAGTCAACTACCCCTTGGCTTTGAATCCAGCTTTCCAAAACTTTCTGTTCTCCTTAGCAGCAAAATTGGGAACAGGGACAAACTTCAGCATCCCTTCAGTTCCAGTTTTGCTTTCCCTTCTTGCTCTCAGTGGTCCCCCCTCCCTTTCATGCTCCTTCATTCTTCTCTCCTACTGCCTGAGGCCTCCTTTTGTGACGGCCTAACCAGATCTAGACTTTCTTAATCACAGCCAACAATCAAAACATATTTTCTGTGTTTCTTTCCTTTAGGGCCCTGTTAGGTGTCTACCTGATTTTTCTGTTAAACCCATTTATTTTCAGATGTTGATACTGATACTAGGTTAATGTATTACAGATGAATTTTAAACATTTCATTCAAAAGTGTGGGTGGGGGGGGTAGCATGAGAGGTTCTAGGCATACTAGTAGGGCCAGCAGGAGAGAGTTGGGGTAGGGGGAGGACATGGAGGACTTTTTAGAACCCCTTGTATAGATAGTTGCTTTCTCCACCTCAAGGGAGAATCAGCCTTGGAAAGAATTTGAGGATATCAAAGGTTTGTTCATCTCCCCACACCCAAGGGTTGTGAAGCTGTATTGAGTTTTACACAAAAACCTTAAAAGCTTGTATAAAATAATTACTTCATTATTCACTTAGCAGGTACGAGAATAATATGTTAACCAAATGTCAGGTTCATATGACTGTAATGTACTAGCTTCTGTTGACCAATGAGTCATGTTTGACTTTACTTAGTTCATTGGTGACCAAACATGTTGTTCAACCCAAGTATCTCATTAATAGGATAAGCCAGATTGTTATGACTATCAACAAAAGAGGGTTAAAGTTACCTAACAGGTGACTTTCAACAAAAGAGGGATAAAGATTTATTTAGCAATTTTTCCCTTGTCTAATCATTGTATTTGAGGTTAGAGAATCCAAAAAGCATTCCACATCCCATCAAGTGACAAAATAGCGTGTTCCCAGGCGTGAAGCACATTGTGCCTCTGGGCCCTTCTCTGTCTCTCTGCCAGTCATTTCTTCATCAGCTCAAATGAGTCACAGACACATCCATATGCATTGCTGTTGTTTGTTTTTTTCCCCCCCTGAGACTATGTAGAACCATTCCCATCTCAATCTACCTTGCCTTCCAAATTTCTCCTATGCCCCTTTTCTCAGTAGTGTATATTGTTGTTTATGTGTATGTCTCACTACTACCACTTAATGAATTGAAAGCTCTTGGGAGGCAGGATCTGTGTCATTGCTCATCATTTTAACCCCAATGTTTGGCACAGTGCATTGTAGATGTTTTAAAATGTCAGTTCAACTGCATTGAAGACTTTACCCCAAAATACTTTTGAAAGATAATGTAATTCTAGAAATCAGAAAGGGAATCTAGTCCAGGTGGTCTGTACTGGGCATGTAGTAGATGTTCAATAATTATTTGATTCTTTGATCACACTCAATCTCATCTTCCATCAGTCCACAAGATGTTTATTGAGTGCCTACTGTTGTTTACATGGTTTACAAAGAGCTTATAGTCTAGCTGGGGAGATAAAAACAGACTCATATACATGAAAAATTATATAAAAATACAATGCATTGTAGGACAAAATACCAAGTGAGTGATGGGCTTGGGGAGACATTAATGACAACACAACCAGATGAATTTCCTGGGCCTTCTACGAGGATGCCTTTTGTATTCTGGAATCAATCAGTGGTAATCAATATGCCCTTCACCATGGTAACAGCTTTTGGTAGTTGCCTTTTCTATCGATGCAACCAGAACACTTCATCTATTAAATGTTACCTTTAGTGGTGAAAAAAGAGGCTCCTAAGAGCAATGCCCCTCCTTTTTCTACAGCTATTCTAAGATTTATGGAAGCAGCTCCATTCATGCTGAAGGAAAATTCATGCAGTGCTTTCTTTTCCCCACAATAACTTACTTAACTGAGAGAGAAAATTAATTCAGTCAGTGCCTGTAATATTTTTGCTGTAAGGCCCTCGTAAGTGCCTGGATAGCTGGATAGATAAGTTATAAGTAAGTACGTAGATAGATAAATAGGTAGAGCATTTATTAAGTGCTTATAATGTGCTGGGCAGTGTGCTAAATGCTGGGAATACAAATATAAGCAAGCCAGATCATCTCTACCATAAAAGGGCTTACCTTCTAATGGGGAAAAACAACAATAAGGAGGTGAGATGGGGATAGAGAGGTACCTGTGCCAGGAGGGGTGAGGCAGAAGCCGGGGGTGTGGAGAAGGTGCTGAGAATGAACAGAGTCAGGTCTGAAGCAAGCACTTCATATGGGTGCGGGGGGAGGTGCTTCTTTGTGACATATGAAAATGTCCTCTCTCCTTTTTCTCAAGTTTTTTTTTTCCCCTGTCACAGATGTTTTGTTTTTGTTTTTGTTTTTATTTTAGACCTAGAAGGTTTTGACTCTGTAGTATCATCTACTGAGAAGCTCAGTCATCCCACAACAAGCCGACCAAGAGCCACTGGTAGACGGCCTCCATCCCAGTCTCTCACATCTGTAAGTGTCTTCTAATTGTAGCTGCCTTTCTTCTCTGACTATGAAATCCGAGATGGTCCAAGACGCCTCATTGGAGAGCTAGGGGTTTATCTGAAACAGATTGTGATGGGTTAACTAAGCAGAGGTACAAATGAAACTTGTTCAGTCAGATAGTTTTCTGCGTATGATTTTCTATTTTTTTTATGTATATCTGTGAGAAGAACAAGTGCTACAGTCCCTTTCCCACCTCCCCTCTTCCAGGCCACATACTCTTCTGTTTCTTTCATGGGAATGTCATCAGAATGAAAGAAATGATTGCTAATAAAAGGGGATAATAGATTTAGAGCTGGAAGGAGCCTGAGAGACCCTAATGTCCATACTCATTTCACATACACACGCATACACACACACACAACCACACAACCACACACAACCACAGCCACCATCATCACCAGTTTTACTGATAAGGAAACTGAGACCCAGAGAAGTTAGATCCATAAAGCCTAGTATAAGGATTCTCAACCTGTAAACTTTTTTTTTTGTAAGTTTTGGTAACTGCATTTCAAATAATAATTTCAATAATTGGCTTCCTTGGTAATCCTATATATTTCATGTGTTAAAACATTATTCTGAGAAGGGGTCCATCCATAGGCTTTACCAGACTGCCAAAGGGGTCCATGATATAAAAAAGGTAAAGAACCCTGGCCTAGAGAGTCATGGTTCTAGAACCTCTAGAACCCCTACTGCCCTTAAACTGCCCATATACTCATACCTACAGAGAAAACCTGTAGGCACTATGTAAGACAATTATTTACATCTTATATTGGTGAGTGGCTTTGAGTTGGGGAGCATGTATGTATACACTTATAGAATCATAGTCTTAAAACTCGAAGAGACCTCAGAAGCTGTCTAAGTATAGGGCAATTATCATTTTACAGATGAGGAAACTGAGATTCAGGGAAACAAAGTGACTTCCTGAAGGAAGGTATAGATAGGAAATGGCAGACCTAGCCTTTGAACTTAGATCCTCCCCTGTCACTTACTCTCCCTCTCCTTGCCCCCCTCCAAACTTAGACTATTGGGGTTGTCATGTATAAGCCATAGGACTCTGAATAAGCCATTTCTGGATAAGCTTCAGTTTCCTTAGCTATAAATGGGGATAATAACACCTGTAGCACTTACCTCATGAGGATCAAATAAAAAAAGTTCTTTGCAGATCTTAAAACATAATATAAACATTTTATTAATAAATAAATCCAGAATGATGGATCTATATTGGCAAAATGACCAGATCAGTAATGTTGAAAGAAATGTAAAGTTAGGGAGCAAGTATGGTACAATATAAAGGGCCCTGGAGTGAGAGGACCTGGGATCAAAGACCGCCTCTGATGCTTTCTGCCTGTGTGACTTTGGGCAAATCCATCAGCCCCTCTGGGCTTCGCTTTCCTCATTTTTATGAGGGGACTGGACTAGATGGCCTCTGAGGGATCCTTTCCCATTCTAAATCTGTGGCCCTAAGATATCCAGTTAGTTGTGAGTTTGCCATTATGATGGGAAAGATCCTCTTCTTTCATGGTATTGAAGAAAGCAAGGAGAGGTTCTCTCCTCAGGTGACATGTCCAAGATATAGGTCTCTTTGGGGTACTTCAAAACCTTAAGAATGTAGAGAAACTGGATAAATTTCAAAGCAAAGCATCAGAAATAACAGGTAGAATTGGAATAATTCACAGAAGCAACATCCTTTAGCCAATTTAAACAAGAGACATTTTGGGGAGCCCTGGAATAGAAGACCTGGCTTATTGTTCTGGTTATGCTGTATGACCTAAGCCTTACTTTGCTCATCTGGTAAATGGGGATAATCCTGCTTGCCCAGCTCACCAAGTGGTGAGCGTAAAATGAAAGACCTTACCTGACACATCCACGATGCTCACAAGACTTTCTTCATTTTCTCTGTGCCTTACCTAGTCTTCCCTTTCAAGTCCTGATTTCTTTGACTCTCCAAGCCCAGAAGAAGATAAAGAGGAGCACACTTCCCTCGCACACAGAGGAATAGACGTGTCCAAGAAGACGGCAAAGACTGTTACCATATCACAGGTAAGGGTTTGAGCACTTGTGACGTACCCTTGCGTCCCCATTCTCTCACCCTTCTCTGTGTGCATGGACTCTAAAGACATAAATTAAGGTGAGCAGAAAAATGCAGGCATGGGAGGGGTGCTGAAATAGCATCAATTAGTTTAATCATTAGTGCAGAGAACATCTCAGCTCCTAGAATAAATCCATAAAATGCCATCTATGCCTTCCCTTTGCTTCTTCCCCAGGAGGCCAAACAGTCCCTTGTGCACAAATGTTTGTAAAGTCACGAGATATTTTTGGAAAGGTCTGCCTTTAAATTAGTGTAAGGGACCCTCCTGGGAGGCAGCTTGGGCTAATGATGGATAGAGAGATGACCTCAGTCATGAATACCTTGGTTCAGGGCTGGCCTCTGATACGAGCTGTGTGACCATGGGAAATTAGTTTGACCACTCAGTGCCCTCAGATATTAAGACTACAGATTTCTGAGAATTTGCTCATCTGCATTGTTAGGTGGAGTTTCCTCATAGGCAGCTAACTCCATATTCTGATCAGTAAAATCACAAGTCTGGGCAAAAAATAGGGGGCAGACTGTTAAAAAAAAAACAGAACTAATATTCCCATGATAGGAAAGAGTGATAAATTTGAGGATGTATTTTAAGTGTTTTAAGTTTTAGGTGGATTTTAAACCTTTTATTTTAGTGGTCCTTCTTTAAAATACCCATTTTCTAAGATGGTGTGAGCTATTGAAAGCAACTTGTCTATAAGAAATACGGGAAACCAGCCCCTATGAATGACCAATAAGGCATGTGTATGACTAGTATGACCCTACAACGCCCATCCCCCTCCCGTTATTCTAGGACCCTTTGACTGGGTCCAAATTTTATAGAACAAATCCTTTTATTAAGGGGACTTGTTCTGTGAAGTTTAGATTCAGTCAAAGGGCTGCACTTGAGGACCCAGAGGGCCACATGTGGCCTTGAGGCTGCAGGTTTCTCACCTGAGTTTAATCTTCTAATCATTCTGGCATTCCTGGGAACATGAACCAAGATAAAAGTAAACTGTTTACTTATTAAAATAGAATCACGACCTAAAGGCTGCTATCTCCGACTTGGCTTAGAAATTTAATTCTGAGCATACATGTTGAAGCATTTCTGAGAGGAATATAAAGGCAATGAACATTTCTGAGGGATTTTCCTTTTTTGCGTTTTCTAGGATTGTGGTATATGCATCTTTTAAAATAGCTCCAATCTAATGTAACATACATAAATAATAGTCAATTAGCATTTACTAAGCAGCTACTATGTACCAGCTACTCTGCTAAGTGCTGGGAATACAAAGAAAGGCAAAGATGTTCCCTGCTTCTGAGGAGCTCACATGCTAATAGGGGAGACGACATGGGAAAACAGTTCTTTCAGACGGTGTATAGTCAGGATAGACCGGAGCTAATATAAGCCGGCAGGCGTTAAGATTACCAGGGCCTAGGAAAGGCTTATTGCAGAAGATAGGACTTTAGGCGGGACTTGAAGGAAGCCTGGGAAGCCAGGAGGCAGAGATGGGGAAATAGAACCTTCCAGGAATGGGGGGCAGCCAGGGGAAATGCTCAGAAGCAAAAGATGTAGTATTGTGTTTATGGTACAACAAGGAGCAGACTGCCCCTGGATTGCCAACCACATCTGAAAAATATGGAATGGTTTGCAAATTTGCATGTCAGAGGAGGAGGCTTGCAGTTTATTAATAATACCATTTTATGTGTTTAATATGATCATACATGTGCAGCCTATATCAGATTGCATGCCAGCTTGGGGAGGGGGGAAAATTTTAGAATTCAAAATCTTATAAAAGCAAATGTTGAAAACTAAAAATAAATTTAAAAAGAAACAAAAACATTTCAAGGTTCCTTTAAATAATAAATCTAATATAGGATTCAATTTCCTCGTCCCACCCGCAAATTATCTATTACTTACAGCGAGGTAAGCCCGTCTGAGGGTTTGCTTCCATGACTTTCAAGCGTGCCTTTGGTGACATCTAGTGGCACAGTGGGCTTTCCAGTTTTCTTATCATATAAATATGGGATGCCTTTACTATGTGCCTTTGAAAAGATAAGAGCTTTGAATAAAAGACAGTACAATGGAAACCGGTGGTTATGACTGTTTTCTAGTAGACCAAAGCAGGGTGGGATCTGATCACTGGATTTTGTTTTCTTGGTTTCTGATAGGTATCCGACAATAAAGCCTCCTTGCCTCCAAAGCCCGGGGGGATGGCCGCTGTTGGGAGCAGCACACAGACGCCACTCTCTTCCTCATCCTCATCTTCCCTTCACTCATCGTCTTTGGGAACAACAAGTCACAGGTCAAACTCCCCTTCTCTGTTCAGCATCGAAGGAAAGCCAAAGACTGAGCAGTTGAGCTATGGTCAGTCAGCGGTGGAAGAACTTAGGACGCAGGTGAAAGAATTGAGGACCATCATTGAAACGATGAAGGACCAGCAAAAGTGAGTGTTCCAGCGGTCACCTAATTCTCCTTTTCAGGGGTTTGTTTTTAATCTTGGGGGCTTTTTTCCTCCCTCAAAAGTAAAGCCTTAGGTTACAAATTAGCCGGAACTTAGATAAGGTACAAAACCCAAATTGGCTGGTGACATGGTATATCCCAAAACTCTGAAACATTTTCAAGGACCTACCAAGCTACCTTTGAATAGGGGTAGAAGGAGGCATCCAGGCTTGACAAGTACGATACTAGAATATGAACAAGGGCATTAAAAAAAGAATATAAGAAAAACAAACATGTTAGATGAAAACACATACACAAAAAGAATAATAATTGCACATATGTCCGAGTCTTGTTAATTACGTGTTGCTAAACCTACTCCCAAAAGATGTGTATATTGACCTTACCAAAGGAGTTACCCACAACAGCCCTCCTTGACTGTGTGAAATGTGAATCTGCCGCTGCCATTGTCTAACTCCCTGGTTTTAGTCTTCATGTCCATAGGTTAGATGTAAGTTATTTTGGTTCTGTTCTCTTTGCTCTGCACCACTTCTTTCTGTAACTTCTTCATGCTCATCTTTTCTTATGGCCCAATAATAGTCTATTAATTTATATGTCATAATCTATTCCACCCTTCCCCAGGTAATGGATTCATAATTTTCTGCTCTTTTCAATAGTACTACTAGGAATATTTATGATATAGATAAGGATTCTCCCCCTCCCCATTTTAATGCCTTTGAGGTATAGTCCTAGAGGTGAAAATTATGATAATACGTGAAAGAGCATGCACATTTTTGTAACTCTCATTGTGTAGTTCCATATTGTTTTTCTAAAAGACTGGAAAGTATCAGTGGTGTAATAGTGTGCCTGGTTTTGCTGTATTTGTATCAGCATTGATTGAGTTTTTTCATCTTTTTGTTATCTTTGACACCTTGAAGGGAGAGTAGAAACTCAGGCTGATATTAATTAGTATTTGTGATTATGAAAGTTATAGAATATTTTTATGAGCTTTTGGATAGTTGGATTTATTTTTCCAGAAATTGCTTCTTTGTGTCCTTTGATCCCTTATCAAATTATAGAATGACTCTTAGTCTAATAAAACTCTTACTCATACAAATACCTATTTTTTGACATACTTAATAAGGGACTATATGATGATCAATGAAATGCCTCCAATAAAACTTTTTTTTATATTGAAAATCTATGTGAAGAAAAGAAGTAGCTGTGAGAAGACTTATACCTTCCCAAATAAATATGCTATTTTAATTAATGTTTAAACAGCAGTTTGGTAAATAAGTTTTTATCAAAGGTACATTATGAGGGTATGTAGGAAATCACTCTTGGCTATGTCATTTAAACTTAACCAAGGAAAATAAAATGTATCATTTCTTTGTAAAATATTATAATTTAGGGAGAATTTAAAACATTCCAGAGCAAAAGAAATACTTCAATTTAAATAATCCAGACTCTTTTTAAAAATCCCATTTCTTTTCTATTTCAGAAGAGAAATTAAGCAGTTATTGTCTGAATTAGATGAAGAAAAGAAGATTCGTCTTCGATTACAGGTATGTGCGCAGCACTTTCTATGGGTGGACTTTAGGGACATCTTAGGTGAAGTAAAAAGAACTGGGAGCTAGGTAACCCCGGTTCTAATTGCATCTGATGCTGTGTGATCTTGAGCAAATCACATAACCTCTTTCAGGCTGAGTTTTCTTCATTTCTAGAATGAGGGGGTCAGACTAGGTGATTTCTCAGGTCCCTGTCAGACCAGAAGTTCTTTGGACAAATTTGGACAAATACTAGTCCCAGGACTTTTATTTGAAAAGGTATTGTTCTTTCTAAACTAGAAAATGCCTTCTTTTACTGATGCCAATTAATTTTTTAAGATTAATATAGAATTATAGAGTTCCTTTCTTTGGAAATTAATAAATCTTGGAAAAGGCTGACTTAAAAGAAGCAATAAAACACCCCCCAAAACTCTAGTGCCTTGTTTGCAATTCATTCTAGTGACATTCTAGGTGCCTGTTCTGTAAAGAGTGCTCTCCAGTTGTGGGGCATGGTGGCATAAGCCTGTAATCCCTGACTGATGGATTGTTTGAGGTTGAGGGTTCTCAGTTTTAGTGGGCTAAAGTCAGTTGTGTGCCTATACTATGCCTGGTCCCACCCCCAGGCTAAGGAGAAAGGTGAGCCAGCTTGGGTTGGAACTGGAGGAGGTCAAAGTTCATGTGCCAATCAGTAGTAGGAATGGGACCATGAGTGACCATGGCACTCTCAGCTTGGGATGAGATAGTGAGACCTAGTCTAGGGAAAAAAAAAATTTAAGTTCAGTTTCAGGTGATGTTCTTATAGGCACCCCAGGAAAGTATTACATTGGGAAATCCCTATGATAGCCTGGTGGTTTCTGTCGCAGTGGTCTTTGGGACCCCAGGGATATGTCCATCCATACTTAAAGTTCTTTTTCCTTTGCTGTGTTAGACCAGGCTTTTTCAACTCCTCCTAGAATGAGCATTTAGCTACCCTCTCCTGGTGAACTCTGAAATCACAAAAAATAAGCTTAGCAGAAAACATGAGAAATTCTAAGAGAAAGACGCAGAATTTTTATTTACTTCGATTTAAGTGGGGTTTCTGGTAGGTGCTAGAAACAAGGCTAATCTAAAAATGAAAAGGAAACTAGACCTGACTGCCTCTGGAGCCAATAGCAGTCACTGCTAAGTCCAGCCTTTTATTGCAGTACATCCTGCATGGGCCACTAGGTGGCGGCATAGTGCAGAGTGCCAGGCCTGGAGTCAGGGTGGTGTCTGCTGTGCCAGGCACTGGGCTAAGCCCTGGGGATACAATGAAAGGGGAAAAAGGATCTCTGCCCTCAGTGAACTCATAGTCTAATAGGGAAGACAATATGCAAACATCTATGTACAAATTACACACATATAGGATAAATTGGAGGTAATCAACAGAGGGGAGGTACTACTAGTATTAAGGGGGAATCAGAGAATATGAGGCAGCGAAGTGGCACAGGAGATCGAGCACCAGTCCTAGAGTTGGGAAGACCTGAGTTCAAATCTGGCCTCAGACACGTACTGTGTGACCCTGGGACAGTGACTTAGCCTCTGTCTTCCTCAACTTTCTCATCTATAAAATGGGAATAATCCCAGAGTTCTTACGAGGATAAAATGAGAGAATTGAGTCAGCTGGTGATGCAGTGGATAGAATGCTGGACCTAAAGTCAAGAAGACTAGTCGTTCTGTGACCCTTGGCAAATCACTTTACCTCTGTCTGCCTCAGTTCCTTCATCTGTCAGATGACAATAATAATAACACCCAGGGTTGTTGTGAGGATCAAACGAGATCATATTTGTAAAGTGTTTTTCCAACTTTAAAGTATATTATTGCTACTGTTATCGTATGTATACCAATATATTGTATATGTTATTTTTATTTAATAATATAAATTTGTTGTTGTTGTTCAGTTGTTTCACTCATGTCTGACTCGTTGTGATACCATTTGGGGTTTTTTTGGCAAAGATGCTGGAATGGTTTGTGAGTTCCTTCTCCAGCTAATTTTACAGATGAGAAAACTGAGCAAAAAGGGTTAAGTGAATTGCCCAGGGTCACACAACTAGTAAGTGTCTAAGGTGGGGTTTGATTGTAGGTCTTCCTGACTTCAGGCCTAGCACTCTATCAACTGCACCACCTAGCTGCCCCAATAGTATAAATATATATTATGTTATTATTACATATGGTAATATGCAATGTATACCATATATACTAATATAATTGTATTATATTAGTATATATTGTTATTATTTAGAAAAAGCTTCTTGCAGAAGGTGGTCTTTTTATTTTCACACAACTAATTTGGTTCCTTTTCTTTTGTAGATGGAAGTTAACGATATAAAGAAGGTTCTTCAATCAAAGTGAATTCTTGATAGATGAAATGTTACATTATTCATCATGAATCTGAGACTCAGATTTCTGCCCCAGCCAAAATAACTTTGTGCCAAATGATTTAAGGTTTGCCTCGACATTTCCCTGTTTGAAGGATTAGCACAAAATGTTTTGAATAGCACAACACAAAATTCCATCCAAGAGGAAGGACTTCCCCTGTGGTGTGGTTGTGACTTAAAACTGAGTGGATTGTGCTAACAGCTTCTCTACTTCAAGACCACAAGTGAAATGAAAACTCAGGCAGTTTAGTCCATAGTGGTACTATTTTGATGATATTTTCCATAAATAAAATGTATTTCAGATTATTGGTTTACAAGCTTTATAATTTTATGATTTTTTTAATCGTCTTTTGTCACAAATTCCTATAATGTTTGTACTACATATAGTTAGGAATGAATGTTTATTGTTCTTTTTGCTTTGGATAGAAAACAGCCTAATTTTAATTTTTGTCTTATAGTTTAGGATTCTCTTACATATGCAATTTTATGCCCCCAAACAAACTATCACCTTGGAGAGAAATTTTAGCTTATGTATAATAGTGTATTTAAAAAAAAAAAAAAGGATAATCTGGTCTTTGTAATGATCTGTGCCTTCTTTTCACCACCCTCTTGGTTGGAGCTGTTTTGATCCAACTACCATGATTATAACCCATTACTTAAGTCCACAAGAGGCCCTTCTCTTAATAGATAGCTCCTCTCAAAGTAGCCAAAGGTCCCTGGAGGTGGCTATGTGGTTGAGAGTGCTATGTCTTACCAGCTGTGTCTTTTTAAGCTGTCCTGGGTTTGAGTTGTTCAAGGAACCAGAAAATTCATCTCTGCTTGTTTTTTCATTAGCCAAATTAAACTCCTGCCTCCTTTCCTTGCACCTTTTGAGTGAACAGAATATGCATTGCTAAAGCAAAAATAAATAAAAGGAAAAATGCAAATAAAAACAAGGGGAAAAAAGTTGTATTTTTTCACGTACAAGGTTCTCTGTTGTGTGTTTGTCATTTAAACTGCATTTATGTATTGCGTCTTGCCTTTGCACTCTTGTAAATCCTGTGTCCTATAAATTGAATGGAATTGGGGGGAGGGGGAGGAGGGAGGAGGGTATGTGTAATTACATTGTAGCAGCTGCTAGATCTTTCCTGCTTTTATGGGATTAATTTTTTTTTTTGCCTTTGAAAGGAAACTAATGTTTCCTTGTCTGCTTTATATGTATAGTGGATGAACTGTTTGGCTCCAGAAGATGACTCTGTTTCCTCATTCTTAATGATAATTGAAAATAAGGGTCTGTATTGCAAGAAATATCTTTATCTATAGATATATACATACATATATGTGTATATACATATATGTGTATGTGTATATGTGTGTATTTGGGGAGGGGGGGGTCTCAATGGCCTTGGAATTAAATGCTGCTTTGTCTTTTTCCTGAGTTTTATATGAAAATTACTAAATATTGATAGATTTGCACAATCACAAAGAGTGAGAATTGATAGTACTTTACAAAACTCCCCCATAATTTAATTATTGATCATGTAAATCATTACAAGTAGATCTTTTTTGCTTTTTCTTCCTTGCCTCTCTTCCTTCATCCTTCCTTCACATACATATTGATTGGTGCTCACCCATTTTGACATTTTGCTTCCTATAAAGGACTTTCTTGTATGCCTAGCATTCCACCCCCATGAAAGCCCCCATTAATATAGTTTCACGTATGTCCATCTCCAGGATGATCTAAATAGCTCTGAGGAGTGGCCAAAGCCCTCTCTCTTGTAGGTTCCTGGGAACATGATTTTTAATTGCTAATTTCTCTAAAGGCTTTTGCAGGCTGTTGTATAGAAACAGTATAGGAGGTTGGGAAGGAGACGGTGGTCGAAGGAGGGGGAAAGGGATGGGGAAGATACAGTGAATTATATGTTTCTTCACATACTTTTGGAATCCTGCATAGCACCCACTCATGACTGAATAGCTGCTGTTCCCTCTTTACAAAATGAACCTCACTTGACATGT